CTGAAATAAGTTAAATAAATAAGAATACTAAGGTTGCACACACTTTCCATTAAATAAAAGTTTGAAAACAACAAAATAAATACTACATATTTTGATGTGTCATGCATGCTTAGGTAAGAAATAATGTATAATAATATCACCAGGAAATGCAAATCTTTAGTTTACACTACCAGCTATTTTCACCCAGAATCTCTTTAGTTTGACAGATATTCAAGAATATACAGAATTAGTCCAGACTATAAACCTGCATGTTCTAACATTACTGCAGTTTGCAACAAAGTGCAAAACTGCCTCATATATCAATGAAGTGATTACTGTGGGCTGCTCCTACCAAAATCTAGTGCATCAGAAAAGAAGATCACACAATAGAGCCATGTTTCCAAAGCGTAGGGGGGCCAAATTCTCCCTTTAGATACAAGCATGCAACTCCATTGGCTTTGATGATATTTGTGCCAATACATCTCAGGATGAAGTTTGTAACTTACACTGTCTGGGGAGGCTGGCAAGAGGAAGAGAGACAGGGAATTTAAATGGATTTAGATAGGACGACAGTGTAATGGCTTGGTCTGAAATGGTAATCTAGAATCTTCAAGGACAGCCTTCAAAAACTGCTTTGCTCTCTCTGCTTGGAGGAAAATGTAGGCTTTTCAAGGGGCAAGCCTGCCTTGCCTCCTCCCTTCCCCTCTACTCTGCTTAAGCGCCAAGAGAGTTCCACTTTCACAAGAAACTGATGTACCACTGCCTCAGGGTTATGGCTACCAGTGGGACAGTAATTCATTTTTCATTACACGTCTTTGGGGAAATCATCGCACATCACCAATTTCACATGATAAAGGCCAAAACTCCATAACCACGTCTCTGTTCATATTCAGTATCTTTTCTTCAGGGGGTGCACATAAATTAGAATGTCAAATTTTTCGTTGCTAAAAATATAATCCTATTCACAAATCTATTGGAATTCTCAAAGAAACATCCCAAGGGATGTAAAAAGTTTCAAGCATTCTATTAAAAGTAATAAATAACCTTACACAGCTCATATTTATACCATAGCAGGAAATATTAGAAGCCTAAATCAAAATGAACACATCCTACTTGCTGCTTTAATTAAGAAAAACATAGAAATTAGTGACCAGGCTCGTTAAGGAAAGCAGTTAATTTTAAGAGTTACTGTTACTTTGAGAAATCTTTGACTAGATAACATCAATTGTAACAGAACTAGTGACAAACATTAGCACAAGATATTTTATGTTGTTAATTGTCTTTACTCATATAACCTAGAATACTGACATTGAAATAGTCTTGGAGAAGGATTAATCTTTACTGTCATTGGCCATGATTCTGAATACAGAACATCTTACTGTTTTTTAAAACATCTTTTTACTTTTCAGTCTTGTTTTCCACTTACTCATCTCTTCTTTAGTCTCACAGAAGTCTCCTAAAATGATGGGGCTTCTTGTAGATCATGTCCTGCCTCTATAAAACACTGAGATCTTTGGATGAAAAGTACAATACACAGCAAATGCAAAATATTATGTAGCTATTCAAGTTATATATGGTACATGTTGTATATGTCTAATCAGATTGTAGCATTCAATTTTCCTACCCCATTTTTATAGTACTTGGAGTGTAAATTAGAAATTAATGGAGGATACTAAATACAGTGTAAACACTGATCTGCTAGTCACATAAAATCTATTGTGGCAGATATCAAATTACAGACACAATGCTATATTAAAAACTTTATAAAAACATCAAGAACAGCACTCAGATTAGGAAAATCAGAATTAAGGTTGCCTGGGAAATGTTAATTTGGCACCCTTACTGAGCAATGATACAATCTTGAATTGTATGATGACATAGTGTTTCTCCCGCCCTCCCCAGGATCCCTGCCTTATTCAGAACACAGAATGGACAGTGCTTGCTAAATAATCCGTTATTCAATATTTTGTATCTTCATTGAGCAATCTGTGGCTTCCATTCTGATTTATACTGCACACCAGCAAACCCTGCACAAATACAGAATTAATTCCCTTGTGGGTTTTATATAGAGCACTATAGTACTGAATGCTTCACAACCAGGAATGAATGTATCATCATTCATTCACGGTACTCCCATTTCACGTCTCGGGAGCTGAGGAAAAGTTTCCTGTCAAAAGTGCCCAACGTACTTATGATCTGACGTTTCAAAAAACATAGCATTTTATAGCACTTTATATGTTCAAAACACAGACATTAGCTACAGTTGTGAGTGCTCAACACTTCTGCAAATCAGTGTCCGGGTGCCTCAAATCAGGCATCCAGAAGATAAATAAACTAGTGGCCAACTGTGAAAAACGTTTGGCTTAGGTCTTGCCAAGGATCACACAAACTCTGTGGCGGAGGCAGGGTCAGAATCCAAGGTCTCCAGCGCGGCACTCAACTATCAAACCATCTTTTCTCTTACTGTCATCTCATTTTGCACCTCTCAATGTCCTACAGACAACTGTCCCCTCTACATTTTTCCTCAGCACTGTACATTCTGTACACTGACTGTTTTAAAACCAGCATGCAACCCTGTAATTACAAATTGCATCATAATGCATATACACAGAGGCTGCGTTGGAGCTGAAGGGACAATCTTAATCCTGACATTGCTTAACTTTGCAGCCCATGATTTCTAATCTTACTGTTATTCTAATGTGGCGTTTTCTATTTGGTCTGCTAGATTTAAAAACGAGAAGCGATCTGTGGCTACCGGCATGACCTACAGCGAAATTTTAAAACAGGTCGAGTATGGGATTGGTTCTTAGGGGAGAGGTGTCACCACCTTCAAAGAGTTACCACCCCAACTAGAAGGGCAGCAGGGAGAAGCCTGCATTGCCACTCCCTATAATGTACCTAGTCTGTGGGAAAAGAGAGAATTTCATCCTCAACAAATTCTGTCGAGGTACGAAAGAGAGAGAAGAATGACAAGGGGCTACCCCTGCCGCTGCTAAGTCAAATCAAAGATTAATACAACAGTCCAGGACCTGGCGTGCAGCTCAGCTGTAGAGTCCTGTTCAGGGAGTTTGCATAAGGAGTGGTTCAAAGCCCACCGTTGGGTGGTCTTGATCCTCCTGTGATTGCATCTAGGCTGCTCTCTTTGTCCTAGTCAAGTGCAAGGGATTCTCTAATTTACACCTGGCTGCAATCGTTACAGGGGGATTGCCACGTTGCAGAAGCATCTTGGGTCGTGCCCTCTTTTTCCTGCTATCCTGGCAGCAGGTTGTGTGGCATGAGCCTCTCCATCAGCTCTAGTCCAGTGGAGCATCAACCCTACACCGGTTCCTATGCCAGTTAAACTAGGTTACAATGGTAGCACCGCACGCAGTGGCTACCCTGCACTAGAGAAACACAGCCAGTAACCTGATTATTTATCGTACCGTTTTGTTCTCGGCTGCTTATTAATACATCTCATTCTCTGCCTTCCATTAAATGCCAGATTTTATAAAGGAGGATTATAAACCAAGAGAGTAATAAATTAGTATCACAAAGAAAAAACCCTCAAGCTCTAGTCTAGAGTGAAACATGCATGACAATCCAACATCTAAGCAAGAAAGTATTAAATTAGAACTAGACCAGAAATGGTATGCAGACTCTCTGTCAGAGCAAGAAGAGAGAGAAGGCTTGGAGATAAAAGTCAAACTAGACAATAAGCTTTAAAAATAAAAACAATATGCCACTAAATAGAATACATGACAAAAGTGTATCTTGCTGCATGCTCTTTCTCCAGTGGCTTGGCAGTCATAAGAAACCATCTAAGAGTTCTTTCCTACTGGAAATCTAACACACAAATTACCCTCTTATAAATGTCTCATTATAATGAAACTCTCAAAGTCTGAACTGATTCTATTAGTGGTGGGAAAGTTTCTCTTGCACACTGCAAGAGAGACAGGACACACCTTTGCTTCACTAGGTCTACTGGCATCCTTCAAATTCTGCTACAGAAGAGCTGTCATTTTCACAGCCAACGTTAGAATTAAAAGTTTTCCACACGAGAGAAAAGGTTGAATGGGTCGGTTCAAATGAGAACGTGGGAAGAGCAGGGATTCCAAGACATCCCAGGTGCACAGAAATGAAAGTTAGGAACTGAACAATACTATTGCAAGAACAAACCATTTCCAAGTTCCTACTTGCAATCTGGGTTAATGACATCGTTAATTATAAAAGAACAGTGCAGGCTTGGATCTCAATTCAGCAAAGTACTAAACATACTTAATTTTGGAGCATGTGCTTATATCACACTGACTTCAATGAGACCTAAATACATGATTAGTACTTAACTGAATCAGGGCCTAGATGAGTATTGGTACTGAGAACTGGCAAGTGGCATGGAGCAGGGAGTATATCTTCTCTCAGGTTCTTTTCACAAGCTTTTTTGGATCCAGGGACATTGACTCCAGATGACTATGGGAATGCCAGCATATAACGAAAGAGTAATTGCCTGAATGAATGAATGAATGAATGAATGAATGAATGAATGAATGTCCATGTCCAAATAAAATACCAAGCATATGGGATACGATGCTTCCCAGGAAAGTATACATCTATTGCTTGGTTGCAGAAATAGTCTCTCAAAAGGAAGACAGGTACCAAGCTAAGCTACATTTTAGGGAGTTCTTTTATATTGAATACGACTGGTCCTTGGAACCAAACAGAACATACCATATACTAGAGCAAATCCTGGCTCTATGGCTCATGGTTGTCCAATTCTGTGCACATTACAAAGTTACCAATTATTAAGACTCTCTGTATTAAGCTTTGTTTCTTCTTTTAAAAATAAATATAAAAGGAACTAGAAACAAGTTAAAACAGCAATAAATAACCCAGAATGTGTGGAGCCCGGTCAGCCCCCCTTGTGCAGTCCAATAAGATTGGCGAGCTTTTCACAGTGCTCGAGTTTCAGTGACTCCGCTTTCTGTTTTAATCGCTCATCTCTGTATAATCTGGCCAAATTGGACAAGTCGGATTCTGAAAGATGAAAAAGTAACATTAGAAGAAAGCTAGTGAGCCCGATGTGGACAATATTTTTAGCACCTCATTTTCCTCGATACATTTTTGTACGATGAATAAAATCCTATCCTGTGGTTTTCTTTAGCAGTTATCTTTAGAAAGAGACCCTGTTCACTAACATTGGACTGGGCATTTGGGAAAGTAAAAACAAAATTTCCAGCATCATTTAAACATTTAACCATATCCAATAGGCTGTCTCCTGCAGCGTTTGCATAGGAACCAGAAAATGAAATGGGGTAGACATCAAAAATGAAACTGATTGTCTATTTTCATTGTACACAGAGAACAATGCAAAATGTAAACAAACAGCATGGTGCAGTGGTTTCTAGACTGTGGGATGTGCACCCCTTGCAGGCCATGGAGGAACAATGATGAGGGCAGGTGCATGGCAGGGAAAAGAAAAAGGGAACGACTATCCCACTAAAATCCTCTGAGTTTCCTGAAAATGATCTTTCAGACTTTCTGATTAGCTAAGAAGTTTCGCTAACGTAACATTCTCCTTTAAAATGTACCGCTTGAAAACAGTGTTAAACGTACATATGGAGAATGGGAAACATGAATTTCTGGACAAGGCAGAAAAATGTCCTTATGCACAATGTACCTCATGACATTGGCCACACATTCAACAGGCAGATTCAGAATGGGACGAATCTTGCAATGTCTACTCTGTCCCACTGAAATCTATGGGAGTTTTGCACAAATAGGGACTATAGCGCTTTGTATTTACAGAATGACGCTATAGACTGACAAAGCATCAAGGATTTTTATTTTGAGTCAAGAATCCATTCCTCCATTCCCTAACCCGGAAAATACCATCCTGCGCACAACACGCACCTGACAGACACTCGCCGATTTGCAGCAGGCACGTGTATCAGAACATGTTTTCAGATGTTTGACAAGACCAGGCTAGTCTCAGCACAATGGGACTCCTTGCTGGTATGAACATCATGTAAATTTCCTATTCTTTATAGGATTCTTAATGCTGATTTGTCCTTAATTTTTAATAGCCAGTTACTTTTTATAAAGGAAAATAATGTAATATGGTATTCACATAGGTAATGTCCTATTTGAACCCTCTATTTTCAACGGCCTTTATTCAGTGTTCTTTGATTACTGAAGTTAACAAAATTCAGAATGTGTAGAAATTGCCCTACCCAAGGAACCAACTGTCCATCCAAACCTGTATCCTTCCTCTGCATTGGCCTAAAGCAGATGTTTTAAAGGAAGACAAAAAGCCACAGCACCCGCCGCCTAATGTGCAATACTAAGCCACAAGAGGAGAAATGCTCTCTGCAGCTGCCAATAAATCTTTTTAAATAGACAAGAGTCACTAAAAAAGTAACAAGTGGAGCTGTGTAATTGAGTGGACTAGAAGGCTGCTGAATGACTAATTTACAGACTCCAGTAATGAGATAGGCAGACACAAGACAAAACTTTTCAGTTGTCAGATCAAAGACATGCAATATCTATTGTTCCTATAGTTTTAACTCTGCAAAATTGCGTATACCTATATCCATCATCAACAAAACCTCCATTAAGTAAAAAGTTCCCTACTACCAATAATTACTCATTTAACAAAATGCATGGCCCAAAGGAGGCTAAATATCTGAGCAAAAAGGAATTAATGGACCAAAGTTACAAAATAGCTGATTAAAGGTCTCCAGAGAACTTTTCACTGTGACTGTGTTTTGCATTCAACAGAGTTTATTTTTAGTCTTGGATGTACTAAAGTTAGCACAGTCTCAGCTGTATTCATTATGGGCACACCGGACCAGATGATAATCATTCTTAAACGGTTTTTAATTACGGTGATACCCTCAGGCAACTGCTAATCTGAAACACTGTAAATATATTTGCAGATGTGTTTTTAACCTATACCTGGCTAACTGTGGGAGCATGTTTTCACTCTGTAATTAATGAAATGGCAAAACAGTAACGTTTTCCTTTGTTGGACATCTCTCTCTCAGATTAACACTGTATGTTGATTTTAAAGAGAATGTCAAATTCAGCTTTAAACTTGCAGACCCTCAACTGCAGTAGATCTGCACTGAAATCAGCAGATCTCCACAATTTACAGTAGCTGAGGATCTGTTTCCTATCACAAACATATGTTATCAAAGAGAAGGGTATAGAGTGATTCGATGACAGTCTATGAGAACTGACCTGGGGAACAGAAACGTTACAATAAATGGTTCACAATCTAGCAGGCAAATATATAATGGTTGGGAGTTGAAGAGGGAAAATTCAGACTCACGATAAGGCAGACATTTTTAACAGTGAGAGGCCTTAGCCACTGGAGCAATTAACAAGGTTGTGGTGGATTCTGTGTCACTTGCAAAGTTAAAATCAGAAGGTTTGTAAAAGACAGCTGTGGCTGGACTAGAGCATGTTGGACTGAAGCAGGAATTCACCTAGGGAAGTGCTACCTCCTACGTCATGCAGGACATCAATTCAGCAAATCTTTTTATGGCAAAGGAAAAGATCCAAAGCCATATTCAAGTATACAGCTGAAGTAATTTGCAATGCCCTTTAAAATGCCACAGGTGCCTAAAGGCAATGCTGGACCAGGCCAAGGTAGGCCACCCTCAAAGCTGCTGAAAGCCAGTAACAGCCTATCGGGCAGCAGTTTTCAAACTGTGGGTCATGACCCCATTTTAATGGGGTCACCAGGGCCAGCATCAGACTTTCTGGGATGCAGGGCTGAAGCTGAAGCTTTAGCTCTCCCCCTACTGGGAGCAGTGGGGCTCTAGCTCTGGTCTCTTCTCTCCCCAGCCAGGGCAGCAGGGTTCAGGCTCTGGCCCGATCCCCAGGGTCACGTAGTAATTGTGGTGTCAGCCGTGGGTTGCAGATTTCATGTTTAGAACATTGCTGATCTGAGTTATCCAAGGGTAAAAGAAAGCACCTAGAAACATCTGTCTTCTGCTGAAAAACATTTCACACTCATCTCTTACCATCAGCCAAAGCAAATGAGGCCATGCTTCCAACAACAAATTTACCAGCTGACAAAAGAGAGCAAGGGTGGCATAAGCTGGTGCAAAGGTAACTCAGGCTGAGAACTACTGCTCTAAACAGTGGCCACGGTAGGCCCCGCATGCAGATCTCTCTCTTACGCGAGCTGCATCTGTACAATACCTACTCTACCTGCATGGCCCAAGGACGTCGCATGGGCCGCAGCTCTGTTCTGCCTCGGCTGCAAGTTGAGAACCAATGGTTTAGACCAGGGCACCTCGACTTTGGAAGCCCTGGGGGCCACAACGAAACTCACAGCACATGCCAAGGGCCACAACTTAAGTGTGGTTGCGTATACATGCAAATACATATGCAAATATACGCAAATAGCTTCTTTCACACTGACGGGCATGAATACAAAGCACTTCCCACAAAGCCCCGACACTCCTCCCTGGGGACTAATAACACCGACACCCTGTACCCATTGGCTCCGGACAGCCTGTCCACTTGTGTCTTTCAATGCTCACCCCGCCTGGAAGATGCCTGCCGTTGTAGAGCGTGTTCCCGGTGGAGGCCATGTTCAAAGGATCCACCCACGGGCCGCATGTTGAGCCCCATGTAAATCCAGGTTGAGTAGCCCTGGTTTAGATGGTTACTTATTCCTGTAAGCTAGGGCTTAATAATGGAAGTACCTTCCAAAGCAAAGCCACGCTCTGACTTTATGTGATGTGAACCAACACACTTCTAAGGAACAAAGATTACTTACTTTGTTGTTTCTCCTTCCAGCAGCTGGTCTGGATATAGTCTATATAATCCTTTTCAACAGCTTTCTCTAGCTCTTGAAGTTCTGCTCCTTTATAATTATGTTCAAAGTATTTATCAACATAATAAGGCACCTGCAGGTTTTGTGTTTCTCTAGGAACAGTGTGGCCTATGGACCTGTGAAAACAGCACAGAGACACATTTTTAAGGCAGCTTGGACATATCAAGGCATGTTAAAAAGAGCAAAGAGAGATGTGCTCCTTCTTTCTAATACTGGCAGCAGGAAATGCCTATAGCTTCTTCACAGCAGCTGTTGTAGAGCTACAGCGCCCTCACCCATTCACTAAAGAAAGTACACATCACTATTTACACCCTCTGAACAGAGGGGATGAAATAAACACGACTGGCTAGAAAAACACCGCAACGACACAATAGCTAGAGATTTAAAATGAAAAAGGAAATAAAAAGGAGCAGCCTCCGAACAGACAATGCCCAAACTCAAGTGCAGTGTGCATTCATGACACGCTACATTGTTCTGAGGCATTCTTGGTAACAAAGCCAAGTCACTTCCAAGACAGAAGAACAAATATAAAGGGGTCAAAACATCCCTTTGTTTTGGGTTTGCCTGCACTTTCCAGCAGCCCCTGCCCACGTCAGCGTGAAATGACTGGACAAACTTGAAAGGACAGCAGTCTTCAGGCTACACACAGGGCGCAGGGCCAAGTTTCTGAGGCTGCCATGTGACTGTAATCATACAGACCATTATTCCATGCAGCTTTTTCCCACATTACGTCATGTTCTTTAGCCACTCGCAGGCAAACGATGGAATCCTGTGGAACGCTGCCTAAGCCAGGGTAATCGGGGTTCCACACCCTGCTAGTGTTTTGAAATTGCCTGCAGTCAGGAGAGCTGCATGGAGCCGGCCTCTCTGCCTTGCCCACAGCTTTAAACCACGTTTTTCTTTCTAATCGTCTCGATTTGTCTCCTCGCATCGTCAGAATTGTTGCCCTGGACGAGGCTCAAGCAGCCATGAAGGGAGAGTCACTCTGACCTGCCTCTCCCTCCTTCCATAGCGCAGCTTGTCCCTTCCTTCTCGGGTTATTAAAAACCCTCATCTCTTCCCCCTCGCCAGAACTGAGGGGGTTCTTCTCTGCATTAACAATGGAGTTGGAAGGATTCCTAAAGCTCAGGATTAGAGGCAGGGTGTGCGTGCCTATCTTCAGGGCTAAAGCGTGAGTCTCCTGCCCCCAAGGGCCAGAGGCGTAGGGGGACTGCCTAGTCTGGAAGCAGCCAGGGTGCTTCAGTTGGGGTAGGATTGGCACAACTCCAAAGACTGGCTGAGGGAATCTCTTGCTGTCTGCCCGACATGCGAGCTGACACCCAGTGGCTGCAGTGATAAGAATGCTGGGGCAGCTGGAAGAACAAGGCCTTGTGAAAATGGGCCGAAAGCGAGCCTCAGTTCAAGCTCCCCCCAACAGGACATCCGTGAGGCTGGGAGGGCAATTCTTGTGAATGCCCCCCACCAGTTCTCCAGCCCAAACTGGCCTACTCTTCTTGGGTAACATTTCTCCTTGAGCTGGGTGAATGGGTAAGTGGGTTTTCCCCAACCCCTTGTGAAGTGCCTCAGGCCCTGCTGCCGCTAAAGGAAGCATGCGACTGAGGACAGGCAGAGGCAGAAAGCAAAGCCCCTCCTTCAGCATCACTGTCCCTCCCTAGTGCTGGGGAAGGGGCGAGGAGGAATCCTCCTCCTGGGCTCCTGACCTCTGGGCCTGCGAGTACCTTGCAGCAGGGGCCATCTGCAGCTGGCACAGCCCGTGGGGTGGGCACAGAGTAGCCTGGCTGCCAGGCATCTGCCCTGCTGAAGGGAACATGCTAGGACGAGCCGCATGGGAGTGGGGGCTGGGAAAGGCAGGCAGCAAATCCCTCAGAAATTCACTGAAAAGCCTGGAAACGCCAAGCCACGCAGCAGGACAGGGAGCAAGCTGCCCACAAGGGGGCCCTGGTGAAACCCTATCCTGCCGGTTGCCTCTGAGCTGCCCAGGAAGGCTGTCTCTGCCAAGAGGATGGAGGCGGATACAAAACTGACAGTAGCCTAGTGGCCCGGGGATATTGTATTCGTGTCGTGGTCTCTGACGGAGCCCCTCGATCTCAGCGCTCACCTCTGTGCCAGCAGGTGAGCCGCTTGCAGTGACTGGATTCATCTCTCTACTTCACTGGCCCCTAAATCCCGCTTTCATCTATGTGCGTTCCCTTCAGTGACAGAGGCCAGACAGCTGACTCCTCCCTTGCAGCTTGCCAAGAAACGGAGCACAAAGCAAAGGCGCAGCCTCAAGCTTTTCCCCTCTCTCCACCTCCAGTTACTTTATCATTAGACCTTCACTTTAGTTATCTTGTCACACAGCAACAGAAGTTCATGATTTTTGGTCCCATTTTTCAAATGAAAGCAAAATATGTTTTAAATCAAGGGCTCCAGAGAGACGGTGGGTTTTGTTGTTGGACTCTTGTCCTAAGCCAGGAAGGTACCAGGCTGAAAAGAAGGTCTTAAAAAGTATGGTGTGATCACTGAATGTCATGCCTTTAGAGTTTCAAAATAAAAGACAGATGATCCTGTACAATCGTTTCAGAGAGATCTGGCTGCTGTGTGAAATGCACGGCTACCTGTGCCAAGACTAAAAGACTGACACGTCAATGTGTGGGATCAGTAATATTTTGCTACATGTTTCCTGTGTGTTCTGAACTTAGCTGCTTTATAAGCTTGAAAGTTAGGTTGTATTTGGTACGGGTCCTAGGCACAGATTCCTTTAGTTTGGTACTGTAGAAAGCCTATATACATTGTTAACAATGATACAGGAAATAAACACAACAAACACTCCTGACACAGAGAGATTTTTATCCTTAAAAAAAAAAATCCAAGAGCTGCCAGGCACTTAAGCAGTCCTTGGATTCCTGCAAGAAGTCCCTTCCTGCATCCCCTTGAAATGGCCCCCCATCCTATAAGAACGGCCAAACTGGGTCAGACCAAAGGTCCATCTAGCCCAGTGTCCTGTCTGCCCACAGTGGCCAATGCCAGATGCCCCGGAGGGAGGGAACACAACAGGTAATCCTCATGTGATCCCTCCCCTGTCACCCATTTCAACTATTCATTCAACTGAAAGATACCTGCAGGCAGGCCATCAACCTCACCAGCCCAAGCCCAGACATATCTAACTTACACTGGCCGTATCAATCAGCCATGCACATCCTTCCTACCATTCAAATCAGCAATACCCTCACAAAACCTCTGCATAGTCCTTTGTTGCTCCCATCTCTGCCATCCTAAGCATATAGGAGTTCTCATGCTTCATTGTTCCAACCAGGCACCACCCAGAAAGAGAACTAGTGGATCTGGGTGACTCTACTCTTCCCACAGTGAAAATTCCCCCTCCCCTCCACCAGTTCTCCAGCCCAAACTGGCTTACTCTTCTTGGGTAACATTTCTCCTTGAGCTGGGTGAATGGGCAAGTGGGTTTTCCCCAACCCTGCCTAGAACAATGCTAGGCATTCCTCACACCTTCCAGGGCTAACCAGGTTGCTCTGTAATGCTCCAGATCGGCTGGCATAGAAGGTGCTAAATAGTATTAGATCACCTTATGAAAGTGTTTTAAATCAGATGGTGAGCTCTCTGGGGTAGGGACAGTCTTCTGTTACCTGTCTCTATGTAGACTGTCACCATAGGGCCCTGCTCTTGGATGGTTTTGTATTAAGGTAGTGCCTAGGAAAACCAGCCAATAAAAGGGGAAAATCACCCCAGTCCCTTCATTACACAATAATAATGCTTTCTGCAGAGAGTGGGTGGAAAAAGTTAGTGAATTCTCTGCTATGTTCAACATCCCTCTACCTCCCTACCCGAAATAACCTGAACCAGAACAACAACTTTTCAGTAATTGGACTTACGATTTGTAGAACAGGCTGTATGGTGGATTAGTGGCCATCAGCTGAGTTATAACTGACACAACTACGATCACCAAAACTGGCAGCAACTGAATAAATGCAGAGTATGTGTTCTGAAAAGGACAACCATAGTTAGTGGATGAGGATGCGGTCTGTAAGTAAAAGGCATAAAAGGCAAGATGCAGTCTGTAGATACACAATGTATCAGATGGTTAGACAACAAGGACAGAGACGCCGCTTGAATTTACAGATGAAATATGACATTTCAATTTCAAACTAGTTACATTTCAAAATTACCTTTACTAGAAAAACATTTTAATAGAGAAAATTATTTATTGGAAATTTAAGTTAAGTCACATGTTCGTAAAGTGTCTTTAATGCACAGTTCCATCCAGTTGTCTAAGACATGGTCTCTCAGAAAGTAAGTGCACACTGCGCTGCTAGAAGGTAATGCAAGGCCAGGACTTCCCTGCTTGGATACAGTTGTCATCTACAGATTCCCTGCAGTTTCTAAAATTGACAATGTTTATTTCTCAAATCCCATAAAATGCCTAAGATTTATTTTCTACCCACTGACGAAAACTCTTAAGAACGTCACAGGCTAATAAGCAACACATAGTGCACTCTGGCACTAGGTAGGTGTATTTTCTTTTATTGATTTGAATATGTTTTTCAAAGAAAAGTGAACTTAGTGCAGGTGAAACAGTGATAGCTCAAGGGACAAAATTCTTCTGCTACTCCATAAAACAAACAGCATGGGCAGTAAAAGCCTAATTTTCTTTTTACACTGTTCTGCCCACCTGCCTCAACCTTCTCCCTTAGAGGGAAGAGCAGAAAGCAATCTGTAGCTAGGCAGTCGTTGGTGTCTGGCTCAAGATTACCAATAAGAATGCTCAGTGCAACAGTATGTGATGTGTTCACTTGTCTGTCCACACCACAAATGCATTTCCCATTAGGCTACACAACCGACACTGGATTGTAATGACTTTCAGCCCCTACTGGGCCATTTCAACTGATGAGAAGACATTGCTCTTTTCTGAGTCCACCACGGTAAGATACATTTTGAAAGGAGAAAATAAAGTGTCAAATGCACTTTTTAAAGTGTCCCACATAAAAAGTCCATTCTGACTGTAAACCTATTACTGGTTCTAGAGGCATTCCCCATTTGAAGTTCACTAGAAACTCAGAATTATGAACACCTCTGGAATGGAGGTTATTTGTAACACTGACAGGTCAAACTGTGAACAAAATGTTCTGGCTGTTCTGTCAAAAGTTTACAACTGAACAGTGACTTAATACAGCTTTGAAACTTTATTAAGTGGAAGAAAAATGCTTCTTCTACGCATTTTAATTTAAATGCAACAAGCACAGAAACAGTAGCTTGTTACATCTTTTTTTTCTTTTAAAAGTGTACCTGTAACCCAGTACTGTACTGTATTTGTTTTTTGACCCCGCTGCTGCCTGATTGTGCAGTTCTGATTCCAAATGACGCATGTGGTTGACTGAGCAGTTTGTAACACTGGTATTCATAACTCTCAGGTTCTACTGTACTGGGAATGCTGTTGACACCAAGATGAACTTCAAGTGTGCCCACTGAACTTGTGAACAATAGTCAAAGCTAACAGCTCCCTCCTATGGTACCTGAGGCCTGTTTTCTTCCTCTTCTTTCTCCTGCGTCCATGCTCTCTCATTTCGGTGTCGTCGTCGATAATAGTGGGCATCTGGAGTTATATTTGAAAACATATGAATATTTCCTGTTAAAAACAAAAAAAGATGTGAACTAGCTATTTTCATTCAACTGCAGACTCCTCAGAGATTCTAGTTAGCTAATCCAACCTTATAGTAAATGAGTTACCAGGCACAGTCATCAGAGGTCAGATTATAAACCTCACATAACACACCTCAGAACTGAGATTTCAAAACAGCACCTGGGAGCTAGCCAGTATGCAGCATCTTGGGGCACTGGTGCGGCAGGAGAAAGGGAATGTTAAAAAAAAAAAAAGAAGCAGAGCAAAACTTGATGTAAAACTCTCTCATTTAATTAAAAAAACCAGAGATCCATTAGGGTTTTAGTACTGCAGCTCCTGCTTTTACATCAGTTTTAACATGTCATTTTGAGAGCCTCATTGCATGGGAACCTGGGGCTCTAAATATAAGTAATAGGTTTTGTCCATCCAATTAGGATTTTGTAATGAGGGAAGAAACTACAGAGAACTACCTCTTTGATAAAGGGTGCAATTCAGGGTTTCCTTTCTTTGTAAGCTAAAGAGAGACACTATATGTAGTTGATTTACTTTAGAACTTCTAAGATGGGGGAAGAAAGCAGCACAGACTGGTGTTAACAAGCTCTACCAATTTTGAAAGCCATGGATTTTACATCACATGAACACTGGAATAATGATGCTCTCTCTATTAATTCAGAGCTCTTTTGTAGTATGAGCACGTCATGGCTGGCCATGCAGTATATCACAAGCACCCAATCTGAGCCGGGTCTGACCTGCTGTGTGCCATGAAAAGAAACCACCTCAGATTACTTTTACATTCACGGAGCAGCTGCACACAGTGGACAGTTGCTTTTGGGCTCAGGAAATGAGCCCTGAGTGGTGAGGTCACCTCATTACACAGTTCTGGGGTGATTAATAGTGACTGCACAACTTTCAGATGCAGAAAGTCACCTTCTGGAACTGTGTACAGAGCTTGCCCCAAAATGTACAGAGCTTACAATAAAGTGAGAGCTGCCCTCTTGGTGGAGACGCACATGTGGATTGCTGTGGGGAAGTTGGTATCTCCAGACTGCTCCCAGTCAGTTGAAAATCAGCTGGGATCAGGAAGTTCACTGGTGGGGCTGCATTAACGCAAGTGTGCAGGGCCATTAACTACATCCCGCTACGAAGGACCAACACACTTAGCAAAGGGCGTGAAATCCTGAATGGCTAAGCGGCAATGGAATACTTCAATTTCAGTGGGGCGGAGGTGGTATGCATATTCCAGTTGTGGCCCTCAACCGTCTTACGATAGAGTATAGTATTGGGAGTCGCTTGTGAATAACAGCGGGCACTTCACTGACATCAACATGGGGTGGTCCTTCAGCTGGCATCACTAACATCTAAATTCCTCCTGCAGTTTGAAATGCTGTTCCACTTCCCAACCGAAACTGCTGTGTAATGTTGCTGTGTGCTGTTGAATAGCTGCCACATGCCAGAAGTGGTTGTATTTTATGACTGGGGTAAGCAGGTGTAACTTCCAGCAAAGTCAATGGGAATGATGCCAGTTTATGCCATGAGGCATTTGGCTCAGAGTTTGTAAATTTGCTGGTAACATTTGTAAAGGACGTTGCTCTACAATGAAGGAAATGAAGGATGCTATAACAAATGTAGCTCCCTCCTCTGCTAGAGGTATTAGTGATTACGGTGATGTCTGTTTGACACTACACAGGTGCTAAACATTGTGACATCAAGAGAGGTCTGAATTCCAGCATTACAAAGGAGAACATCTTTTACCCAGTGCATCTTCAAAATGCATGATTTTTTAGCCAAAAACGGAAGAGTAGCCAGGTGGCGCAAGGGGCTGGGTTGCCTTTTTGGCTGGTTAGACCAGAATGAAGAAAATATTTCCATGGTCAGAGCAGCCAATTATGAAGATGGCTTTATTACATCAGCACAGCAAGAGAATTAAATCGGTTAGAGAAGCATTGCAATGTGTATACCTCCACAGTATGGTTGACGTAAGCTGCCTGTATCCATTTAGCTGTGTAATGTAGACTTGGAGTTACATTCCTGAGCAGTATCAAAGCTAACTTTCCAACACTTGACACTTTACAGACACTATATACAGCACGGGTAATTCCCACCAAAAAACATGTTGAATATTTCTTCTGGTGTGATGTCTGCTTCAAATTCCCTGTAATAATCATAATTCCTGGCCCGGGGACTGCTAAAAGTGTCTTGCTCATCTCCAAACTGATCATATCGTAATCGTTTTTCTGGGTTGCTCAGAACGGCAAAAGCATTACCTATTGCTACAGAATAAAAGAGAACAATTTTACACATGTACTTCACACAATCTTTTTAAGTCAACATGCCTTTCATAAGCTGAATTAGCTATAAGTTGATAGAGGCTCATTTTCTGCTGGACAAAATGTAAAACCCAATCCTCTGGACAGAGAGCCTAGATATCCATTGGAGGGGTCATTCTTAAAAGCAAAGTGAGTGTTCCTTTCAACTTATTCTTGTGGATATTGCATTAGCACTGATGAAAGTCGCTGACTCATTTTGGATAGAAGTGGGAAGTTAAAACATCTCCTACAGCATATGGAAGGACTGAAAATACTCAAACTTAGTGGGGAAGAGGCCAATCTGGGAATCCGTTAAATGGCTGAGTGATAATACAAATTTTTACCAAGTCTAAAACCAGTTAGTGACATGGTAGGCTTTAGATAAAACACGTGCCCTCACACCTTTGTATTAATAAGCAGAAGCTTTCAAAATTGCCCAATTTGCTTTTTAAGGCCAAAGACAATCCATTAGCCATATTATGTTGAGCACTGAAATGGTGTTGGAGAATGAAACCTTTCTTCATATATGAAGTACATCACAGGCAAAACTTTAAAAACAACAAATAGTCCTTCAGCACGTTAGAGACTAACAAAAATGTAGGCGGTAATGTGAGTTTTCGTGGGCATAACCCACTTCTTCAGATGAAACTGGCAGTTACTGTTTTCCACATGCCTCAACTCCAACCTACAAGAGCCACCATTAGGGCAGGTTTGATGTCCATGATGCCTCTTCAATCTGTAGCCACTTCATTGAGACGGAAAATAAAGGTACAAACTGATACACTTGGGTGTCTACCAGGACCTGAAATATGAGAGTGGTTTCACATTGGTCACCATGCAGGTAGCCACCCAAGCTGGCTCTAAACTAGTGCCCCAAAGAGGAAAGACCCCATATTTTATTACTGAACTCTTCAGCCACTATGTCTCCCAAAACACACCAACATCTTCAGATACTAATTTCTGAAGGTCAAGTAGCTGTACAGGTTGAACCTCTCTAGTCCGGTACTCTTAGGTCCAGCAACATCCGTGGTCTGGCATCATTGGCACATGTCCACTTACCATGGGTGCAGCCATGTTTCCTCATAGCCCCATGAAGTTTGTTTATAGCCAACAGTCCTGGCTCAGTGTTCTGTGCTGCTAATTTACCCCTACATGTCTTTTAAGAGCCCAGTAACCAGTGGAAGTGTTGGTCGTGCTGCTAGACCACATTGACCTCCCGTGCTTCGACCAGTTTCTCTGGCTCAGCACTATCCTTGCCTAGGAAAATTACAAGCTGTCTATATTTCTATGAAGTCTTCTTGTCTATAGTTCTATGAAGCCTTGTTGAAAGATCCTTGTTGAAAATCTCCTTCCTTCATCTCACATACCTTTAAAAGCTTCTGTTGCTCCAGGAGCACAGTTCTTGTCAGGGTGAAATTTAAGGGCCAATTTTCGATAAGCTTTTTTCAAATCCTCCTCATTGGCATCTCTTCCAACTCCCAAAATTTCATAATAATTGCTACACTTCTTTATTCTGAAAACCAGACAAAATTGGAATTTTTTAAATCTAAATGACTCTCTCAATACAGCTGAGAGAACATTTTACAAGATACCAGACAGCACTTAACATAGGCAAGGGAAAAGCAGCAGTAGACACAGGCTGTATGTTGCCAAGATGCATGAGGAAGCAGAGCACTCTCTCAGGGATGGTGGTCATGGGTATACCTTAACATTCACTTACTAAAAATTTAAGTGCTGAAGAAAGGTGCCAGATTGTGCACCCTAGAAAGCATAGTCCCTGCTTAACCACAAAGCAGTTACAACGTAGGCAGAGGTAATGCAAGCTTCTCCCACCAGTCCAGCTAAACCTCTACCGAAAGGAGATCGAAAGGGATTGGATGTAATTTAGTCTTCATGTTCATCCATCTGTTGCAAACCAAAGGAAGTATTTCTTCACACAACACACAATCAACCTGTGGAACTCCTTGCCAGAGGATGTTGTGAAGACCAGGACTTTAACAGTATTCAAAAAAGAGCTAGATAAATTCATGGAGTTTAAGTTAATCAATGGCTGTTAGTCAGGATAGGTAGGGATAGTGTCCCCAACCCTAGCTTGTCAGAAACTGGGAATAAGCGACAGGGGATGGATCATCTGATTATCTGTTCTGTTCATTCCTCTAGCGCAGCTGGCATTGACCAGTCCGAAGACAGGACACCTAGCTAGATGGACCTTTGGTCAGACCCAGTAAAGCCATTCTTATGTTCTTATCCTTTGCAGAACAGCAGCTTATTTAAATTACTTTCACAGGAGAAGATTAGATTTAAAATCCTGACATTGATCAACAAGTGAAAAGGAGTTTAGTGTTCCCCTGTTATTTCTATTTCAGAGCCCCCCCTTCAAATATGCTCACAACAGCCTGTGAAGTAGGGAATAGGGATGTTAAAATGTGTTCAAGTAAGCATGTAACCACTGCTGACTTAATTTTCAGGGGTTATATGCAGAGAAGAGGGGGAGGTGGTTCCCACCTGCCTCCCCACACAACTGCTGCTGCTGCTACAGAGGCCACACAGCACAGGGGTAGGGTTGAAAGAAGGTAGCTGGTGCGTGCCAGAAGATGGCTTTTAAGCAGGTAACCATGAAGGTTAACAGATCCGTTAACCATGTAATTTTCACATCCCTAGTAGGGAAACACTATTATTCCCATTTTACAGATTGGGAATGAAGGCACAGAGAAGACTAACTGACATCCAGGGATTATGCAGGATGTTTATGGCAGAGCAGGACCTGACGCAGGTCTCTCAACCCAGACTAGCGTTCTAACCACTGAACCATTCTTCCTCAGTCTCTACTCAGCTTGGAAGAGCTAAATTTGAGGCAAACACAAGAACAGCCATAAGGAGTCAAACCAAAGGTCCATCTAGCCCAGTATCCTGTTCTCCAACAGTGGCCAATGGAGGGTGTCCCAGAGGGAATGAATAGAACAGATAATCAAGTGATCTCTTCCCTGTCGCTCATTCCCAGCTTCTGGCAAACAGAGGTTAGGGACACCATCCCTGCCCATCTTGGCTAATAGCCATGGATGGACCTAACCTCAATGAAAGGGAAGTCAAGAGCCTCCCCACTGGGGGTATGTCTACACTACCCCGCTAGTTCGAACTAGCGGGGTAATGTATGCATACCGAACTTGCTAATGAAGCCCGGGAAATTCAAATCCCGGGCTTCATTAGCATAAAGCCGGCTCTGCCATTTTTAAAAGCCGGCTAGTGCGAACCCCGTGCCGCGCGGCTACACGCGGCATGGGCTAGATAGTTCGAACTACGTACCCATTCCGATCTATCTGTACGCCTCGTGGAACGAGGCGTACAGATAGTTCGGAATAACTACGTAGTTTGAACTATCTAGCCCATGCCGTGTGTAGCCGCGCGGCACGGGGTTCGCACTAGCCGGCTTTTAAAAATGGCAGAGCCGGCTTTATGCTAATGAAGCCCGGGAAATTCAAATCCCGGGCTTCATTAGCAAGTTCGGTATGCATACATTACCCCGCTAGTTCGAACTAGCGGGGTAGTGTAGACATACCCTGGGAGATTACAGACACAAGACCCCACTGAGATGCACTGACAATGCAGAGGGCAGGAGACTGAACAGTACTTGACTGTACTATCCTGTGCCTCAGCCAGGCTTCATTTTCCTGAGCAGGACCCCAGTCCAGTGAAGCACTGCACACACATATCCACACAGAGCCCCTGTGAAGTCAAACAGAAACAGGGGTCTGTCCCACGTAGAGGTCCTTGTAGGAATGAGGCCTTAAACACACAGTTATGCTTATTTTCATCAAATCTTCCTTTTCAGGGAGTTGTTTCAGCTGGAAAAATGAGCTTAGGCTGAAACTTCAAGTCTCAGCTAGAGCTCAGGGCTCCTCCGCTCACACAAAAATTAAAAATGGTTCTACCTTTTAAAGTTTAAAACCTCGTAAACTAAAAAAGGAAAGGTTCTGCTCCTGTAACTTTCAAAAGACCAAAGTGGCTGGGGTATTTTTAGTAAACATTCACAGCTATATTTAGCAAGGCAAAGTGACTAACGTTTGGAAATCAGCTTCTGCTCACATACAGCAATTTCTGTTAATCACTTATTATTATGCACATCCTTCCTATGATTGTAACGGCTGCATACAGATAATCATAATACACATAATTGTTCATTATTTATGACTTAGACCCATGCGAACTCAAGGAAGTTTAAGTCAGGGTTCAGAATATAGTTGATACTGCAGATCTGGCCAGTCACAGATACAATAAAAGGGCCTAATTTTCAAAAGGTACAGAGCATCCACAACTCCTATAAAAGTCATCGAATCAGACCACATGTGCACATTAGTTGCTCTGGACTATAGCAGCTTTGCAGCTGAAATGTGGTTACCAAAAGATCACCTGCGTGAGACTTTTCCCTCCACCAATACAATTTAACGTAGGATCCACTGAAAATAGTTTGTTTACCTTCGTACCCCATACAACTGCTCCTCTGTGTAAGTCATACTAGCCTCTCCAGAGCACGTCTGACCCCTCTCACTGTCACATTTCTTCTCCTTCACTCTCATACAGTCGCTGCAAGCACAGAAGTCAGAACTCTCGCTGGTTTCCTCTGTTGGGCAGGCATTCCTTCTGAGTGCGTCAATTAATGCTGCAAAGCAACATGTTCTTGTTATGAATGTATTACCAAAAATGCAGTGACACATTACTGCATTGTTTACTGTACAATATAAATTAGAGAATTAAAATTAGTGTCAATTTGATTTAAAAAAAGTGCGGGAAAAAAAAGACCTTAACAAGACCTAAATGAAGGGTCTTGAAACTAATGATAAGGCTGGAAGTAATGAAGAAGGGAGGATGCCTCATTCAAAGAATAAAATGAGGGGATGTTCCCAAGAAGAAAGCCTCTGACCAATAGCAGTGACCACAGATGGTTTTAGAGAAGACAAGCTATCTTAAAAATAACCACTAGGGATCTTCCCAACCCACTTATTAGTGCCCTCAAGAACTGGGCCCTGTCTGAACTTAAATGCAAAGGAAAAACTGTTATCAAGGAGGAGACAGCAAGAAAAGGCCTTAGGAAGAAAGGCACTGAAGTTAGCAATTGACTTCTCTTGTTGAGTGACATCACTTGTTAGTTAAAGGGTACAGAAAGGAAAGCTTTAGAAGGGGTCATTGCTAATATCTGCCTAACCAACTGACCAAGTTAGAGCCTCCCATTACGAGTCTATGCATCCCTGGGTTTACCCCATTTGTAACTATCTTGATCAAATGCTTATAAATGTTTTGTTATTGTTTGGAGTAAGTAGTACACTGCTTATTAAGGAATGTTTAGAGCAACTGTGTAACTACCAGTCAGCCTTTGTATTCAATAAAAGGATTTATGGTTAAATTAGTGTTGCATAAATAACCTCAGTATTCATTCTAATGGAAACATCTTTTCACATACAAAAATGCATGAAATAAAAATCCATCCTTCATCACAGTCTTATCTATGGATTATCTTTAATGGGTTTTTTTTGGGCGCGTGGGTGGTATATCCAAGAAACACTTTCCACAGAGCAAGTAATAGGTAAAACAAAGGTTAAATTTCACCAGCTATATCAGTTAAGCAAGTTGCAAATACACAATGCAAATTAATAAAATAGAATAATATAAATGATGCAGGGACTGCAGACTACAGCTCAAGGGCAATGTTCCCTCAGGGTGGCTTTTTAATCTCGCCTGCGGGGCAGTCCAAGCACTCAATTTACAGGGAACATTGCTCCGGGGCCTGACTGCACAGAATGCAATGCAGAGAAAAATGCAATGCAAACCCTTGCCCTTCCTCACACCCCCACACTAACATCCTGCCCCCCCCATGACCCCTCCCCTCCTGCCCTTCCTTCCGCAGATACGGGCGACCCCTCTGTACCTCCTCCCTCGGCAGATACGGACAACCCCTCTGTACCCCCTCCCCTGGCAGATACGGGTGACCCCTCTTTACCCCTTCCGCAGATACGGGCGACCCCTCTGTACCTCCTCCCTCGGCAGATACGGACAACCCCTCTGTACCCCCTCCCCTGGCAGATACGGGTGACCCCTCTTTACCCCTTCCGCAGATACGGGCGACCCCTCTGTACCTCCTCCCTCGGCAGATACGGACAACCCCTCTGTACCCCCTCCCCTGGCAGATACGGGTGACCCCTCTTTACCCCTTCCGCAGATACGGGCGACCCCTCTGTACCTCCTCCCTCGGCAGATACGGACAACCCCTCTGTACCCCCTCCCCTGGCAGATACGGGTGACCCCTCTTTACCCCTTCCGCAGATACGGGCGACCCCTCTGTACCTCCTCCCTCGGCAGATACGGACAACCCCTCTGTACCCCCTCCCCTGGCAGATACGGGTGACCCCTCTTTACCCCTTCCGCAGATACGGGCGACCCCTCTGTACCTCCTCCCTCGGCAGATACGGACAACCCCTCTGTACCCCCTCCCCTGGCAGATACGGGTGACCCCTCTTTACCCCTTCCGCAGATACGGGCGACCCCTCTGTACCTCCTCCCTCGGCAGATACGGACAACCCCTCTGTACCCCCTCCCCTGGCAGATACGGGTGACCCCTCTTTACCCCTTCCGCAGATACGGGCGACCCCTCTGTACCTCCTCCCTCGGCAGATACGGACAACCCCTCTGTACCCCCTCCCCTGGCAGATACGGGTGACCCCTCTTTACCCCTTCCGCAGATACGGGCGACCCCTCTGTACCTCCTCCCTCGGCAGATACGGACAACCCCTCTGTACCCCCTCCCCTGGCAGATACGGGTGACCCCTCTTTACCCCTTCCGCAGATACGGGCGACCCCTCTGTACCTCCTCCCTCGGCAGATACGGACAACCCCTCTGTACCCCCTCCCCTGGCAGATACGGGTGACCCCTCTTTACCCCTTCCGCAGATACGGGCGACCCCTCTGTACCTCCTCCCTCGGCAGATACGGACAACCCCTCTGTACCCCCTCCCCTGGCAGATACGGGTGACCCCTCTTTACCCCTTCCGCAGATACGGGCGACCCCTCTGTACCTCCTCCCTCGGCAGATACGGACAACCCCTCTGTACCCCCTCCCCTGGCAGATACGGGTGACCCCTCTTTACCCCTTCCGCAGATACGGGCGACCCCTCTGTACCTCCTCCCTCGGCAGATACGGACAACCCCTCTGTACCCCCTCCCCTGGCAGATACGGGTGACCCCTCTTTACCCCTTCCGCAGATACGGGCGACCCCTCTGTACCTCCTCCCTCGGCAGATACGGACAACCCCTCTGTACCCCCTCCCCTGGCAGATACGGGTGACCCCTCTTTACCCCTTCCGCAGATACGGGCGACCCCTCTGTACCTCCTCCCTCGGCAGATACGGACAACCCCTCTGTACCCCCTCCCCTGGCAGATACGGGTGACCCCTCTTTACCCCTTCCGCAGATACGGGCGACCCCTCTGTACCTCCTCCCTCGGCAGATACGGACAACCCCTCTGTACCCCCTCCCCTGGCAGATACGGGTGACCCCTCTTTACCCCTTCCGCAGATACGGGCGACCCCTCTGTACCTCCTCCCTCGGCAGATACGGACAACCCCTCTGTACCCCCTCCCCTGGCAGATACGGGTGACCCCTCTTTACCCCTTCCGCAGATACGGGCGACCCCTCTGTACCTCCTCCCTCGGCAGATACGGACAACCCCTCTGTACCCCCTCCCCTGGCAGATACGGGTGACCCCTCTTTACCCCTTCCGCAGATACGGGCGACCCCTCTGTACCTCCTCCCTCGGCAGATACGGACAACCCCTCTGTACCCCCTCCCCTGGCAGATACGGGTGACCCCTCTTTACCCCTTCCGCAGATACGGGCGACCCCTCTGTACCTCCTCCCTCGGCAGATACGGACAACCCCTCTGTACCCCCTCCCCTGGCAGATACGGGTGACCCCTCTTTACCCCTTCCGCAGATACGGGCGACCCCTCTGTACCTCCTCCCTCGGCAGATACGGACAACCCCTCTGTACCCCCTCCCCTGGCAGATACGGGTGACCCCTCTTTACCCCTTCCGCAGATACGGGCGACCCCTCTGTACCTCCTCCCTCGGCAGATACGGACAACCCCTCTGTACCCCCTCCCCTGGCAGATACGGGTGACCCCTCTTTACCCCTTCCGCAGATACGGGCGACCCCTCTGTACCTCCTCCCTCGGCAGATACGGACAACCCCTCTGTACCCCCTCCCCTGGCAGATACGGGTGACCCCTCTTTACCCCTTCCGCAGATACGGGCGACCCCTCTGTACCTCCTCCCTCGGCAGATACGGACAACCCCTCTGTACCCCCTCCCCTGGCAGATACGGGTGACCCCTCTTTACCCCTTCCGCAGATACGGGCGACCCCTCTGTACCTCCTCCCTCGGCAGATACGGACAACCCCTCTGTACCCCCTCCCCTGGCAGATACGGGTGACCCCTCTTTACCCCTTCCGCAGATACGGGCGACCCCTCTGTACCTCCTCCCTCGGCAGATACGGACAACCCCTCTGTACCCCCTCCCCTGGCAGATACGGGTGACCCCTCTTTACCCCTTCCGCAGATACGGGCGACCCCTCTGTACCTCCTCCCTCGGCAGATACGGACAACCCCTCTGTACCCCCTCCCCTGGCAGATACGGGTGACCCCTCTTTACCCCTTCCGCAGATACGGGCGACCCCTCTGTACCTCCTCCCTCGGCAGATACGGACAACCCCTCTGTACCCCCTCCCCTGGCAGATACGGGTGACCCCTCTTTACCCCTTCCGCAGATACGGGCGACCCCTCTGTACCTCCTCCCTCGGCAGATACGGACAACCCCTCTGTACCCCCTCCCCTGGCAGATACGGGTGACCCCTCTTTACCCCTTCCGCAGATACGGGCGACCCCTCTGTACCTCCTCCCTCGGCAGATACGGACAACCCCTCTGTACCCCCTCCCCTGGCAGATACGGGTGACCCCTCTTTACCCCTTCCGCAGATACGGGCGACCCCTCTGTACCTCCTCCCTCGGCAGATACGGACAACCCCTCTGTACCCCCTCCCCTGGCAGATACGGGTGACCCCTCTTTACCCCTTCCGCAGATACGGGCGACCCCTCTGTACCTCCTCCCTCGGCAGATACGGACAACCCCTCTGTACCCCCTCCCCTGGCAGATACGGGTGACCCCTCTTTACCCCTTCCGCAGATACGGGCGACCCCTCTGTACCTCCTCCCTCGGCAGATACGGACAACCCCTCTGTACCCCCTCCCCTGGCAGATACGGGTGACCCCTCTTTACCCCTTCCGCAGATACGGGCGACCCCTCTGTACCTCCTCCCTCGGCAGATACGGACAACCCCTCTGTACCCCCTCCCCTGGCAGATACGGGTGACCCCTCTTTACCCCTTCCGCAGATACGGGCGACCCCTCTGTACCTCCTCCCTCGGCAGATACGGACAACCCCTCTGTACCCCCTCCCCTGGCAGATACGGGTGACCCCTCTTTACCCCTTCCGCAGATACGGGCGACCCCTCTGTACCTCCTCCCTCGGCAGATACGGACAACCCCTCTGTACCCCCTCCCCTGGCAGATACGGGTGACCCCTCTTTACCCCTTCCGCAGATACGGGCGACCCCTCTGTACCTCCTCCCTCGGCAGATACGGACAACCCCTCTGTACCCCCTCCCCTGGCAGATACGGGTGACCCCTCTTTACCCCTTCCGCAGATACGGGCGACCCCTCTGTACCTCCTCCCTCGGCAGATACGGACAACCCCTCTGTACCCCCTCCCCTGGCAGATACGGGTGACCCCTCTTTACCCCTTCCGCAGATACGGGCGACCCCTCTGTACCTCCTCCCTCGGCAGATACGGACAACCCCTCTGTACCCCCTCCCCTGGCAGATACGGGTGACCCCTCTTTACCCCTTCCGCAGATACGGGCGACCCCTCTGTACCTCCTCCCTCGGCAGATACGGACAACCCCTCTGTACCCCCTCCCCTGGCAGATACGGGTGACCCCTCTTTACCCCTTCCGCAGATACGGGCGACCCCTCTGTACCTCCTCCCTCGGCAGATACGGACAACCCCTCTGTACCCCCTCCCCTGGCAGATACGGGTGACCCCTCTTTACCCCTTCCGCAGATACGGGCGACCCCTCTGTACCTCCTCCCTCGGCAGATACGGACAACCCCTCTGTACCCCCTCCCCTGGCAGATACGGGTGACCCCTCTTTACCCCTTCCGCAGATACGGGCGACCCCTCTGTACCTCCTCCCTCGGCAGATACGGACAACCCCTCTGTACCCCCTCCCCTGGCAGATACGGGTGACCCCTCTTTACCCCTTCCGCAGATACGGGCGACCCCTCTGTACCTCCTCCCTCGGCAGATACGGACAACCCCTCTGTACCCCCTCCCCTGGCAGATACGGGTGACCCCTCTTTACCCCTTCCGCAGATACGGGCGACCCCTCTGTACCTCCTCCCTCGGCAGATACGGACAACCCCTCTGTACCCCCTCCCCTGGCAGATACGGGTGACCCCTCTTTACCCCTTCCGCAGATACGGGCGACCCCTCTGTACCTCCTCCCTCGGCAGATACGGACAACCCCTCTGTACCCCCTCCCCTGGCAGATACGGGTGACCCCTCTTTACCCCTTCCGCAGATACAGGCGACCCCTCTGTACCTCCTCCTTCGGCAGATACGGACAACCCCTCTGTACCCCCTCCCCTGGCAGATACGGGTGACCCCTCTTTACCCCTTCCGCAGATACAGGCGACCCCTCTGTACCTCCTCCTTCGGCAGATACGGACAACCCCTCTGTACCCCCTCCCCTGGCAGATACGGGTGACCCCTCTTTACCCCTTCCGCAGATACAGGCGACCCCTCTGTACCTCCTCCTTCGGCAGATACGGACAACCCCTCTGTACCCCCTCCCCTGGCAGATACGGGTGACCCCTCTTTACCCCTTCCGCAGATACAGGCGACCCCTCTGTACCTCCTCCTTCGGCAGATACGGACAACCCCTCTGTACCCCCTCCCCTGGCAGATACGGGTGACCCCTCTTTACCCCTTCCGCAGATACAGGCGACCCCTCTGTACCTCCTCCTTCGGCAGATACGGACAACCCCTCTGTACCCCCTCCCCTGGCAGATACAGGTGACCCCTCTTTACTCCTTCCACAGATACGGGCGACCCCTCTGATACACCTCTTCCCCTGGCAGATTTTATGGCAAAAGTGGATCCTTACAGACGTGACTGATGAGGGGAAGGGGGCCCCAATGCTGTCCCTGCCACCACCCTTATGACCCTACCCCCTGCAGTGTAACTTCTCGCACATGGTGCCTGTGAGGTCATGCTGCATGAGACACCATTTTGCAAGGGACAATTAGCACAAAGGGACAGTTTTTCTCATGCACATGCTATCAGCGGCTAGAACAGGAGTGGGCAATAACACGGCAAGATTAGCCCCTGGCAGGCCACCGCCATTATATTTTCCTGCACAGCTGCAGCGGGTACCAGTGATCACTGCTCTCCCTGGCTGCACATCACCATTCCCGGCCAATGGGAGTGGCAGGAAGTGGCGCAGACCGGGACAGCACTTCCCACAGCTCCGATTGGCTGGGAACAATGCCCATGACCAATGGGAACTGCAATTGCAGATACCTGTGGGCCGGCTGTGCAGGTAAATATGGCAGTGGGGGCCAGCCAAGAGCTAACCCTGGCTGCACTGGATCTAGCCCATGGGCCAGTATTTGCCTACCCCTGGGCTAGAAGTAGAATTCTTAGAATTTGACCCTCACTGTAGTATTCAATATTGCAAACATTTTTACTCTATTTTTGTAATTTCGTTTTAAAAGTGACCTACAGAGGTGGGGCAGCTGGACAGCAGGCGCTGCATCCCAACAAAGGGTGGCAGACACACGGTCTGCCTGATAGTGTGTCTGAGAATCTCAGAGCTCAGAATAAGGACCCTGCTCTGCCCAGAGTCAGACCCAAGTATTTAAAAAATACATGGACTCCAGTCTTTGATGTCCACTCATAAGAGACTGATGTCTGTCCAGATCAGACTGTGACAGCCAGAATTTTCAGTGGGGCAAAAATTCCATTTTAAAACCAGCTCCAAACTACATGCTTTTCCCTTTCATAATTTTACAGATGAGTTTGGCTGGTTGTTTAAAAAACACCTTTGCAGTCCACCTTTTAGACACATTTAAATTATAACCCTAATGGATTTATTTAGAAACTCAATCGATAGTTACTTGTGAAAATGTTGCTTTTATTCTTTATTATCTTCTGTAAAACCTGACTGCAAGTCAATAATTGCTATCAGCATGTTTCAATCCTGCAGTCTCCAGAATACATCCTTAAATCACCCTATGAAATTAAATCAAGCTAAATGATTGTGCCCCATTGACTGGTGCAATGGAGTATGTGTAACAACACATATATTGACACTGTCATTGAAAGCGAGATTTATTTTTCTTTCATTGCCATCAGTGTTTATCTTGAGGGTCGATATAACTTGACGTTCACCTCAAGGGAAGTCGAGATCTGCACGTTTTGCAGTATATAAATAAGGCGTTTATAAAAGTCTGTTCCTTCAGACTATGAAGCAAGTTAAGTTTATTAGCACAAGTCATGAGTGTAGGCTGGGCAGAGAGGAATGTCGTTATCAGACATGGAATTTGGCTTTAAAATGTTCAATTGCAAAATATAGCACCCAAGAGTTTCAAAGTTACCTAAGGATCTGAGTGATAAATCCTCATTGCAATCAAATGGGAACTGGGGGTCCAGATCCCCTAGGCAGCCTGGGGAATCTCAGCTAGTATGTGTGTGTTTTCACTGCAGACTAAACTTGAGGGAACGACATCTAGTTCTGGACACCTGAGTTAGTCTAAGCTGAGTGAGAGCAACTGCATTGCCCTACCCAAGCTACTGCCTCATCACTCACGCAGCACACGTTGCATGCAGTGAGAAATCGGAGATAGGGCAGCATTAGGCATCTGGGTCCTTCCAGGTTCTGTGGTGCTCACCCAGGAACCTTTCTGATGGCGTGGCTGCAGGAACCTTGGCTGGGCCATTATCCCGGTGGAGAGCACTAAAGAAATGCCTAGGCAGAGCGTCTCGTTGGAGTTTCCAGGTGTTCCTAGCCTCTGTTTGTCAGAGGGTGGAGATGGATGGCAGGAGAGAGATGGCTTGATCGTTCCCTGTTCTATTCACTCCCTCTGCGGCACCTGACATTGGCCACTGTCGGATACTGGGCCGGATGGACCTTTGGTCTGACCCAGTGTGGCTGTTCTTATGTAAGTGCAGTATAAGTACTGTAAGAAGGGAGTGGCTTGTTCCTTTTTGGGCCAAGGAGCACCGGGCCCTGTTCTGGAGGGAAGCCCCACAGACAGGTGCAGCAGATCAGCTGAACAGCAGCTAATGATTGGTCAGATTCCCAGTTGAGGGGCATCAATGAAGGTCTAGGAGAGAGTCCAACGCACCCTCTCCCGTGGCTACAGCCAAAGGCTCTAAGGGGCAAGCAGACCCACAAGGTTGGAGAGGATTAGACCTTGAAGGCCAGTTGTCAGTCAGGACCAGGACTGTTGCTTGTGTCACTGTTCCACCTTTGTGTGTGTTTGTTTGTCCCAGGCTGGTGTTTCTGTCCACCAGTGAGCAGTGATTATGCGCCAAAGTCTCTCTACCTGAGGACTGGGTCTACATCAAAAAGATGGGAAACCCCACTGTGTCGTTCAGGGATGTGAACAATTCACACTCCTAAGCCAGTGCGAGGCTGAGAGAAGGATGCTTCTGTCTACCTTGTGCCGCCTGTCGGGCAGGCGGATTAACTACAGTTATTAACTCCGGTTGTTGTAAGTACCGTTGAAGCGCTACAGCGGAGGAGCTGCAGCAATGCTGCTGTGGCACTCTAAATGGAGACATAGCCTTACACCCGGTGGCTCGCCGGCACTGTTAGCGAGGCCCCAAAGTGGCAGAAAAAACAAGACTGCACGCCAAAAAGAGTCTTTACTTCTGTTATTCCAAGTACTTGAACCATTTTATTTGCCAGCTGTTGCTGAAATAGAGCAGAAGTGGCTCATTCTGTCGCCATTCAGAAAGGATCAGAGCCCAGACCTGTTGGAAGCATCACCTACTCAGAGACCACATTTGCCATCCGATAAGGCTTATGGGTATTCCCTCCCTGGAGCATACTGTGCTGATCTGCCTGGCTGAAGGTTAATTCATAGTAAAGATAATAAAAATACTTTGCACTTCTCCAGCAGCTCTCCTTCATGGATCTCCAACCGCTTTCCAGGCATTCATCAGTGCAGCCTCTCCACACCATTGGGAGGTAGGTAAGTATCGTTCCTGCTTCAGACAGGCAAACGGAGGCACAGAGAGGGACTTTCAGCAATTATGCCTCGATTCAGCAAAGCAGGTAAGCATTTGCTGAAGGCCCATTGACTTCAGGCCTGCTTCACACTTGCTGTAGTTAATGGGCGTCTTTCTGTTGGTTTCAGTAGCCTTCGGATCATGCCTTTCAGTGCAAGGCTGAACTGGGACATCTGTGAATGTGATCAGCTGTGGGACAAACCACTGACTGTCTGGCAGGGATGCCAAAGGGTCATTAAGGGAGTGGTCTTTGTCACTGGGTTGTTTGGCTCTCCTCCCTCTAGAGCTTCTAGAACACACAGAAAGTTCTGTGCTTACCAGAAATGTAGTTAGAACATCAAACATTGCAAGAGGCTGAAGTCAGCTGGAGAAAACTCTGATAGCCCCCATAGGGTTATTTTGCTCGGCCTTAGGATACATGCATTCACTGGAAAGGATGTAATAACTTGCAAAGGGAAAGCCTCCCCCTGCCATAATAGAAAGTCAGTCCGGATTAGCTAGCTGTGTTTCCTCATGGCTCCCGTCACAGCACTGTCTTCATAGCACCTACAAAAGAACCAAGACACGAGGATTCGGCAGGCGTCCAACAATCCCAAGTCCAAATGCTCGAGTAGTTGTCCAATAGTAACCCCCCTGGGGAAGTGAGGCCGTGTCTACACTAGGAAAGTGTTTTGAAATTACTAACTTCAACTTAACCCCCAATTTCACAAATTCAAACTAGACTGTCCACGCTACAGGAAAGCCTCAAAATGAGTCCGAAGCAGGCTCCGTTAATGTGGACGCGCTATCTCGACTTGGCGCCCCAGGAAACACTGGGGAGTTTGAATTACTCTGGGGAGTAATTATTTCAGAATAGCAGCCCCGGAGCGTCCACGCTACCTCTATTTCACAATAACTATTTCTGAATTAGTGCTACTCCCAATGAAAGGCAGGAGTACAGATTTCAGATCTGTTATCTGTTCAGGTCTGTTCAGGTCTGTTATTTTGAAATAACGGCCTTGCTCATGTGGACACTCCCACTTATAAATTCAGCCTTGGGGGTGTTATTTCGTAATAAAGTCCTAGGGTAGACCAGGGCTGAGGGACCAGTTGTTGGGGAGGAAGATAATGTGAATGAAACCATGTACTGGAAACACCAGCACCGATCCCAACCCCTGTGAGAACAGTGATCCCTGATCTCTTAAACAGCCCTCTTGAGCTGAAGAAGAGCTCTTTTCGCCTGACTAGTGGTAGTCCCCCCCAGTTGTGTTGTCATCTGGCCACTAGATGGCAACATAACCCTCCCTTATACCCACAAAGACAGTACAGGGCTTCACAGGTCAAATAGTTCAGGTGAGTTTTGGATAAGCAGCCAATTTCGTCCTTGCTGGTGTGTAGCAACGCAGACCTCTGCATGTGGGCATGGACCTGCTTATTACCACTTTTCCAGCGGACGAAGAAAACAAAAGGATCTTCCCCCTCGGGAGAGAAATGACATCCCCAGCAGCTCTTTACAAGGAGAGGCTAGAAAGAAAAACCTTTTCCGAAGTGGGGTAAGTTGCACTGTTGTTCATGCTCAAGTCCTTCATGGAGATCAGGGTGACGCTGCTCTTCTTAGCTGTCGCTGCAGAGCAACTACGGAACAAGAGAAGGTGCAGGTCAATTACGGTCTTTGGGAAACTAAGGCAACTGTCAGAGGAGAGAGGGCTTCCCAGCACAATCAGACCCAGCTAGGGAAACGGATGATGACTTCAGTGGACTAGAACTAGATGCTGGCGTTTTTCCTCTCTTGTTTACTGGTTCATTTCTAATCCACTACCAGAGAGAAGCCCAAGCTGTAGAATTCAAATCTGGCTCTTGCTCTCCCCCTAGTTATGGCTTCTGGATTAATGGAGCCAGCTGGGTCAGTGAGTGACTGACTATGAAATTTGGATCTGAACTTGGAATCGTTCTGGTTTGGACCCATCTCTGCCAGTACAAATGAAAGATCTTCTCATGCGGCATGTCCTTGTCGGTCTCTGGGAACGAGTTGTGGTTTCACACCAGTTCCTCAGTAGATAAATGTGCACGGAACAAAACTCTCGGCACAGGTAGCACCGGTTTGGGCAAACTCAGTGAAGAGGCCAAGGACACAATGAACGGATGGAGCCTGAATTGCCCTTTCCCCACGTGGTCCTTCAGCATCGTGGTTGAACACATTGCTAGGCCTGGGGAGTCGTGCACTGACTTGCTCATGCTGCGTCCTGTTCCGGGGGCTACACAGAGTTCAGCCTCCAGGGCCTGGTTGTTCAAAGAACACCAGGAACATATTGTTTTAAAATGGGAGGAGCATCAGGGGTATCACTATAGTCCATGTAGTGGAGGAGCATGAAAATAGCGAGTCCAGCAGAGGTGTCCTTTACCGTTCCTCTGCTGACTCGTATTGGATTGTCAGACTAGAGAAGGGTGGTCCAGTGGTTGGGGCTCTAGCCTATGACTGGGGAAACCTGAGTTAATAATTCCCTGCCACAGACTTTCTGTGTAACCTTGGGCATGACCCTTAGCCTCCCAATCACTCATTTGTAAAGTGGGAATAAATACACTAAAGAGTGCAAGGTGCTCAGCTACTGTGGTAATGGGGGGCTGGGTTGTTATACAAAACCTAGGGTACGTCTAGAATACATGCCTCTGTCGCCAGAGACATGTAGATTAGGCTACCCGACATAGGAAAATGAAGCGGCGATTTAAATAATCGCCGCTTCATTTAAATTTACATGGCTGCCGCGCTGAGCCGACAAACAGCTGATCAGCTGTTTGTT